CTCGACTCCCGCCGCGAGTCCAGCTGTCCATCCTGGGTCGGTTCTTGACGGCCCCAGGGCCCGCCAAGGGCCCTCGAGGCCGAAAATGTCCAACAGCCTTCCGCCGCAATTTGCTTCAAGTCGCGAGGTGGTTTCCCTTATCCTCCACCTTCCACACCTGCCGACCTCGAGGGGCACAAAGCGGACCCCCCCCCGGCTACCGACCATCAGGTGGCTGATTAGAAATCTTCTCGAGTGATCGTCTATGCCTTATCGGCGCTGGACTCCCTGGCGGCACCTCCGGCGAAGAGCCACGAAGGGGGGGTCCAACTCAGATCAAATAAATCCGCGCGGAGCCACGAAAGTTGTTACGCTCATGCAGTTTTTCTTGCCCCTCAAGAAGATCACTAAATCTAAAATCAGCCACCTGCACCTGTCGGTCGGAAGGTGTGAAAGGTCAGGAGAGCTCAGAATCGAATCGATAAGTCGAATCGGCGATCGAAATGGATCGGACCGGTGGAAATCGGAAACCAAGTCGGGAGAAGTCGAATCGGCGGAAATCAGCAGGCTGGCAGGCTTCCATTGAGAAACCGGAATCCACGTCGGAACCCGAGGTCGAATCGGCATCGAAACCGGAGGCCACCGGAACCGATCCGAAGAGAGAGAGTTCGGGAGCGGCCAAGAGGGGGGTGTCCAAGAGGGGGGGTGCAATTCATGACCGGCGGCATGTGCGCGGCCCAGCGGGGGGGCCAGGCACGTAATGAAATAAGAAGAGGCGCCATGAAATCTGGGGAAATATCATGGCCCACGCCATGAGATCCACCCCCCCCTGGTCACCACCCCCCTCTTTTCCGCCCCCGAAGAGTCGAGGGGGGGGTCGAAGCGGGCCCGGAAGGTGCAGAGTCAGAGGGAGGCGGTCAGCCGACGCCCCCCGCGCTGGAGAAGGTCGTGTGCAGGCTCGGCAGCGCCATCGCATGGCCGGCGGCGCCCAGGGCACTACTCGGCGGGCGCGGCGGACTCCTCGGCCCTGGGCGGTCAGGCCCTGGGGGGCTGCCCCGGAGGTGCCCCCCCCCCCTGGGAAGGCCCCCGGGGGCCTCCACGGGTCGAGCAAGGGATCGACGGCAGCGTTCTTGGGCGTGGCTTCATGGGGGGGTCACACAAATGGGGGGGCCAGAAAAGGCCCCCTTTCGTGCCCCTTTCGGGCCCCTCCAGAGCCCCAGGGGGCTCGTTTAGGTACCGTTTGGGTACCTTTTCGGACCACGCTCGCCACCCCCCCATTTATGACCCCCCCATTACGCGGCGCCCAGTGTTCAGTAGGCTTGAGCTTTCCGCTGGATCTCTGGGAAGATGCGCAGGACGCTCGGCAGATCTACGGAGCATCCTGCGTGCACGTGCCGCAGATTCGACGGCAAGTCAAGTCTGGGGTCCATCCACTCTGTGCTCGATCCCCTGCTCGACTAAGGGTCTCCCCTGGATGAGGTCTGGGCAGATGGGGGACGCGCAAACATGGATTAGCGATCCATGGATTTGGCGCGCGGTCGCCAAATCCATGGATCGGGGGACGTGCCCTCTCGAACATGTGGCCGGTGCCGCCTGCCTCGCTCGGCGGCGGAAATCCGCGATCCCCCACAGAAACGGGAACCGTCGCTAATCCACGCCCCCTTGAACCAAGTTTGCGATCGCCTGATGGGGTCGGAGGATCGCGCCGCACCGCCGATGCGTCGGCGGTGCATCGGCCCCGTCGGCGTGGAGAAAGTCGAGCTCCACGCCGAGCCGCATCGGCGACGCGCCCGCGAGGCGGCGCGACCCTCGGGCCCCGTCTGCCTTGGGACCCCACCTGGGAGGCCGAGGCTCCAGGATTGGGTCGGGCGTGGCCCCCTGCAGGCGGGTTCCCGGTGAAAATCGAGAAAATTTGTCCACAAAATGCCCCCAGATAGTCGAAAAATGCCGGGAAAGTCACCCCGAGGCTATGCTTTGACTGTGTGTGAACACCCCTTTTTCGGGAGCGGCAAAGAGGGGGGTGTCCAAGAGGGGGGGGTGCAAATCATGACCGGCGGCATGTGCGCGGCCCCGACGGGGGGGCCAGGGACGTAATGAAATAAGAAGAGGCGCCATGAGATCTGGGGAAAAATCATGGCCCCCGCCATGATCTCCACCCCCCCCCTAGTCATCACCCCCCCCTCTTTGCCGCTCCCGAGAACACCCCTTTCTGTGGAGGGACACGCCCGACTTCACTCCGGGAGCACCCCTCGCGAGGCCCACAAGGCCCTGGCAGCTCCAGAGCTGCGCGAGACCACAGCTCTCGCGGGTGCGCGCGCTCTTCGCCCCCTGCTGCCCCGGGCATCTCTCGTCGTGGGAAACCGAGGGCAAGGCGGAGGATGAGGAGGAGGAGGAGGAGGAGGAGGAGGAGGAAGAGGAGGAGGAGGAGGAGGAGGAGGAGGAGGAGGCGGACGAGGAGCTTGAGGCGGCGAAGGAGCAAGAGCAGCAGGAGGGGCAGGACGAGGGGGACGGGGACGGGGGC